GCAGGATTGTTTAAAAGTCACGTTGGCCTTGGTGTTAACAAGTCAATAAAATCGGCGTAACGTGGCATTTCATTGACGGGGCATAGCAGCCCGAGAATAAAAGTAAATTGTAAACATGTATGTTTCCGTTTACATCTCGCATGGGCTGCATCGCACAACTGCGATTCATAAAAAAATATGCGTAGCAAATGGCTAAAAATACATCGCGAATTGCGATGCGATACCGGGAAAATTATTCCCTGCAAGGTCAACCAAACAAAGGTCAAACATCCAACAGCCGTGTTGAAACAGACGTTAACTGGCTGCTAGGTGATGAGGGTTGCCACGGTTACCTGTCGTGGTCACGCAGCTTCTCCCTCTGGTGCTCGGTCAACACAAACTTTTTCTTTGGCGATGGAGCGATGAAAACAAATTTCTGTAATAATGACAGACACGATCTATATATATTATTATCTTGGAATGTCATTTCAATAAGATAATTTAATTAATGATCTTTGAATCAAGGAAAATGATTTTTCAACAAGAGCCGCAGAGCGACTGGGCTCATCTGAGGTCTGTTGTTATGGTTATAAACTCAAAATTTCAGTCGTGCGTAGTGACACCTTTATTAGGCGCAGATATGCAGATACACAATTGCGTGCACATCATTTCAGCAAACATTTTTTTTATTGCAGATAGAGAGAGCGAGAGAGACGAAGAGAGATAGGGGGCGAGAGAGAAAAAGAAAGAGAGAGAGAGAGAGTACGGGCGAGAGGAAAGAGAGTGAGAGAGTCAGTCAGACTAAATTGTTTATAAACAAATAACACCCACGCGGCGCGCTACTGTATCAGTTACGTCATCGATTGAAATGTACATTCCGATTTCGCCGCGCGGCGTCCAAACTTTCGACGAAGATGGCGGGCAGAGGTAAGGCAGACGCACGTATAACGTACAGATTTCTTCAATGTCGGGGAGGATCAACACATTTCGACTGACAGTCAACCATCGGGCTCTGCACCGTCTACAAGCCAGCATGCTCCACCATATCCCAACATTGCACACTACTGTAACGTCGACGGAGAGAGCCATGCCAGGGACAGTACAAAACTGGCAAATTTTCATTGGTAGGTTTGACGATTCATTTCTGCAATTACTTATCTCAAGATTGGTTCAACTGAAGTTAAGAAAGTAATTCTTTCTGCACTTTTGAGCGCAATATACATTTGACCTATCCTGCCGGGACATTCTTCTCACTCTGTTCCGATAGATCATAGATGGCGTGCATACTGACTAGGTGCAGGGAATAGATAATCCGAACTAGTTGCTACCTTCGTTTAGCCCATGCTGTGATACTATCAGCCACCCACCTGTGAGGTAGGCCTATTTATAGTTGGCCTTAATCAAAAACAGACGTTTGCGTAAGTGCTATTGACATTGTATTCCCAACGTACAGAATCTCATATAGAGAATGAAGTTCATATATGATTTAAGGCACGTAAACGTTGTTCAAGTAAGTTTTGCATGCAGAATTTCACTGTGAAATTGAAGTCTTCCATGATCACACAAGTACCATCAAACACAGTTCAGTCCTTTGTTAAAGTCGCACAATGCGCATCCAAACGCTAATTTCTTCAGTACTAGACTAGCAAATACTTCGTGTCATGCATAATCA